TTAGGAAAAACTTCTTCACCGAAAGGGTGGTCAAGCATTGGAACAGGCTGCCCAGGGAAGTGGTTGATTCTCCATCCCTGGAGGTATTTAAAGAACAGATAGATGTGGTGCTTGAGGACATGGTATAGATGGACTTGGCAGTGATAGGTTGACGGTTGGACTCGATGATCTTAAGGGTCTTTTCCAACCTTGACGATTCTATGATTCTATGATTCTTCCCAAAAAGAAATCTTTTAAAGAAGGCAAATATGATTAGGCAATGAAACTAAATAATTATTGATAGGAAAGAGATGGAAAATCTCTCTCTTCCTCAGTTGTCTCTCCTACCCCCTCTCCCTTTTCTCCCCGCAGTATTGCCCCCTGTCTTGTTCTGCTCTTTTAAACCTTTTTATACTCATCACTGTTTTTTCGGATCCCAAAGGCAGATCCTGCTTACAAACACAATGCAGCCCCACGCTTTGTAACGCAGCTACATTTTACGTAGACTAAAGAAGCAGAAAAAGTTACTCCTTTTACCATTGTAAACTTTGCTTTTGTAATGGGAGTAGCCTGTGTTAGTGTTCTTTTTTTTTTACGGTTTCATATGTCAGTTGTGCTACAACCATGTAAACAAACAGCAAACACCAGCACGCCGCTCAGCGATGCAGAAAATGGAAGGGATTAGCTTCGCTACTATTTGCTCATATTGCAGCAGGACCAGGCTGAGTTAGGAACCCCTTTGCACAAAATACGGAATAGCTATGTGGCCAGAAATGACCTTGCCCTTTACAAGTGTACAGTGTTAATAAAGGGGAGAGAAGAAGATCGAAGCATACCATAACCTAATCTTCCCAAGGTCTTGCCGTAGGTGAGCAGTGGAGCTGAAGAAAGCTCTCTGGCTGCAGTCTAGCCAACTCATTTGCTCTCATCATCATTCTGGAATACTCTCAGATCTTCACTTCACGGCTAGAAGTGTATGCAGATGTTTTTTTGGGTCAAAAGGATGATAGTTATGTCACCAAAGAACATTATTCAATCATTGTTTCTTGTCCACAGCTAATGTTTTAAAGAAAATTTCCATTCTTGATTTTTTCTTAGAATACCTTTTTGCTTCTTTGTTAGTAGTCCCAGGGTAATGAACAAATTCTTCCATGCTGAAGAAATCATAATCTTTTTGTCCTTGTAGTTGTCCTGGCTGTAGCACATAAATAGTAACAGTGATCACCAGCTTTAGCTGGAAATTAAATAAAGCTTTATTTTAATTATCCCATACTTCTGAATTAGCTTCATGTGCATTGTTAATAGTCATCTTAATTAATTAAGTAGTATTTCAATTTGAGACATAAATTCAGAGGTTTCTTTTCGTACTTCCTATTTTGGCAGTATCCATTAAGTAGTCCATTATGTTATCTGACCTCACATCTTTTTTAAGCTAAAATAATCATCAAATTAAAATAATGTGGGAAAAAAAACAAAAACAACAAAAAAAAATATTTAATTCACTAAAAAAAACCTTATCTAGGTACTCATACAGCTGCTAAAAAAAGCCTGTGTGTATTAAATGTACTCTCCCTTAAGTTTTATTGCCCAAGCAGTCAGGCTGGTGCGTTTGCGATAAAATGCCAAATTCCAGGCAACTCATTTTTTACTATTTCATTTTACAGCTCAGGCTGCAGCTATTACTAACATGTTTGTTTTAAGAATGAATGAGCAGCATAGATTTCATAGATAAAACTAGTGATTATTCTCTAAATAGATACAACTATTTTTTCTGTACAGCTAAAAGAGAAATGCCTGGTTGAAGCAATAATCTAAGCAGGTTATTGTCAGTAACAGCTTATTTGTTCAGCTGGAAGTTCCCATTAGGTATATGATCTATGAAAAATTAGCTGTATGAAATAGATTTTTATGGAAATAAAGCACAGTAGTTTCTGTCTTTTCTCTGATTGAGAGATAAAAATGTTATTATAAATGAAAGCAATGATTTGTCTGTTTATGCAATGTGTCAGAGGATAGGAAAAGCAGGAAAAGGGTAAAACTGCCTTTTTTTCTTCCCTCAACATCTATTTATTTTGCCTTCCTTTCCCTGAATCATATCAGCATGTAATATTGACATTGTTCCAAAGTTTAGCTCTTTGGGTGTTTATCTAGGAATTTCACAGATCACTGAACAGTTATATATGTCCAAAGGACTATTGCTTTCTTATCTGATGTATCCATAGCCAAAGATATTTGTGTCCTAGAAAAATATGCGAAGCAGATTTAAATCCAAATATCTACACCATTTATCTTTCACTTCTACAGACTCTTCACTGTGGTACTATGGAAACTTGCAAAATCTGCAATACACCTCTCCAAGTATTATTCAAATTGTGTGGACAATCAGAATACCTTTAATTTTGTTCTGATAGGTGGTGATGTATTTTATACCAATATTTAACAAAATAAACTTCAAGCTTCAGAGTTTTATGGCATGGCAAGTTGTGCTATAACTTCTTGACATAGGCTGCACTGGCCCCTGGCGAGGACAAGCTATGGGTATAGAATCATCACTGGTTCGATTCTTTTTGTCTCTACCTTCCTATAATTGTACATGACAAAGAATTTCCTTAATTTATTTCTATCCCCGACCTTCCAGGGAAAGTGAAAGAGTATTGACCCCACAAATATCTCTTATGTTATTTGTATTTTTGTAAAAAATACTGTAATTGTACAGTAGATTAAACGTATGCTACTCTTGCACTCCTCTTTAATGTTATATATTGCATTGCTAATGTTTTGTTTTCCATATCTTCTCCAGGTCTGGGATTCAGTATTGCAGGAGGGGTTGGAAACCAACACATCCCTGGGGACAACAGCATTTATGTCACCAAGATTATTGATGGAGGAGCTGCACAAAAAGATGGGAGGTTGCAGGTTGGAGATAGACTTCTTATGGTAAGTAAGACAAATTTAAATCACATTTTATTTGGCTGAGAATTGCTTCATATAAGGACTTTCATTCACCATACATCTTACTGGAGGTACCCATTACAACTTCTATAATAATTATTAGTTATATTTCCGTCATCTTCATTTTGTCCCATTCTTTATATATATCTCTGAGATTGCAGTTAAAAAAGCATTACTCTGGAAAACCCACATTTTATGAAGAGAAGGCAATGGGTTATATTACTTTGACAAGCCTTTAACTGAGAAGAGACTAAACATATAATGCATATCGGCAACAAATCAAAATGCACTAGAAAACTTTAAAAGAAGATTTTAGACAAACTCTTCATTACGGTGGTACTGATTCTACTGATCATTTTAAGAAAATTGAAAGATGTGAAAACATGCCACTTAGCTCTCACATGTAGCCACTGTCAGTGGACTGTTACCTACATTTCGGTACATGTAGGAATGCTTTAGGTATATGTTCCATGTTCAAAAAAATTATGGTTTCCATCTTTTTCCCTGAGGAAGTGTACTTATGCTTCTGAGGGATCTCACTTCAGGAAATTCTTCCTGATATTTGCAGTGCTAGTACATTGTTCCTTGTAGATAGTTCTTTCCCACTCACAGAGTTTGTTTAATTCTTTGTTGAGGGGAAAATCCTGACCCTGGTGAATCAGCAGAAGTTAATCTATGTCAAGTTGTATTCATGTCAATGCATTTGCATAGATTTCAGCAGGTAGAGAAATATGTTTTGAATGAGTGCCATGAAAAAAATGTACTGCAGTAGCTCTATTTAGTGACATGATATCTAAGCAGTAAAAAATTGCCATGAGTTTTTTTTTGCTGACTGCAAAACTGTGCCTAATTGAGGTTTTCTTTATTTAGCTAGGGACACTGTGTTCCAGTCACATGTGAAGATGACCATTCATTTTACACAGGGTATTAAACAGAACTGGAAAGGCACTTGGTCACTAGGCTGATGACTCTTTGACTTTTTTTAATTAACCCAAGTGGATAGATAAACCAGCTTAAGGATCAAATGGTGTTATCAAATCAAAGCAAAATGAAACTAGAACTTACAGTTTCTTTGGCATTTCTTCTTCGCAGGTTCTCAGCACAGTAGAATTCAAGTCACTGTTGTATAATGAAGTCTCAGCTCATTCTTCTATAGAAATATATATTTGTATTTGCCAAATTTGCACGTTATTTTGTTATTTTGGACCTTGTAGCAAATCTGCTTGTATTCAGCTGTTGGGTTTTTTTGGTACGAGAATTCCGCAGTTTTTGTCATTCGTACATTTTCGCTACCTTACTCTTAATTTCTTCCAACTCACTTGAAGTAATAAATAATATATACAAAAATAAAAAACAGATGCAAAACCTCCGCATTCGCCATCTCCAGTGTAATTTAATCAGGATTAATTTCAATGGAAAAAGTAAGTATTTTATACACCACTATGTATAAATTCATTCTTTCCAGATTTTTCTAGGATTTGTCTCTTAAGCATCTCTTCTCAGTCTTGAACCTGTGATTCACTGCAGTCAGCTATAGATGTTTCTTTGTTGTGACAAGTTTATACTCCTATATCCGAGTTCTGAAAATGAGCAGAGGTCATTCTCAGTGTGTTTGATGTCTTTATACTGCTTTCGTTTCAGTCTGGACCAGTTCTTTACTTACCATCATCTCCTTTTGTCACTGCATGTAAAATGAGCAAAAAAAATCAACCATAGTATTGCTCTCCACTAGTTACGTACTTCCAGACCAAGCTTTTCACTGTTGCATAAGAAAATCCTAGTCAACTTACTCTTTGTATACCTTAACCATAACATTTTTGGAGATAAATTTCCAAGATCAAAATCTATTTCTAAAATTCGTACAGATTACATTACAGCCATCTTTTCTGGTTCTCTCCAACAAGGCACCCTGATTTATTTATACCCTGTGTACCTTCAATATTTTTTCTCTTTTACTTTGTGAAGCATCTGTCAGTTCATGGCATTAACTTCATGTTCCTTTGTGAAAAGTGAGTGAAAGAATTCATTACTTTCTTTTGGCAGTGTATCAACACAATATTACCCTTGTCATCTATACGGTCCTACTTCTGCTTCACTGGTTCCTTATTGATTATATACTTGAACACTTCCTTTTTTTTTTTTTCTTCTCAATAGTGCATCCTTTCTTGATCTTTGTTTTTTCCATCATTTCTCTACAAAATTTACCAGAATTAGCCATCCTTCTGGAATTCTCAGCTGGGGGGCTTATTTCGTTTTTGTATATGTGTTCTGATAAGTTTGTGTGAAGTGCTTTCAGATCCCAAAGAACATGCAAATCAAATGCACAAAAAATTAAGATGTAATAAAAGAGATGCTGCAAAATCAAAACTAATATTGAAATGTAAAACAATTAGGTGCCATCTGAGCATTTTGCAACTTGATGACCCTACTGTTATTAAATGCAGATTGCTAATAGTGTGTTAAGCATTCAGAAGATGTATTATGTAAATATATTGTGATTATTGTGAAATCTATACAAGGGCATGTTACGCAGTTATGTTGCTGTAGCACCGAGCCCACACTTAAGGCTTATTATCCTGAGCACTTCCACAGGAAAATGCTCCATTGTAAGATAATCTTGAGATGCCCATTAGGAAAATTACCGGAGTAATAAGAGTGCTTAAGTTGAAAACTGAACTCCGTGGTTTTCCTAGGTATATGTGAAAGGAACAGACGAAAGCTCTGCTCTGAAGACTTACAGCTAGGAGAAAAATACTCCCTTACTGTTTTCTGGTGGTAATGCCTATGGTAATGTCTGCTACTGCTGGTGGAGACGCCTGTGGTGAGAACACAACTGCACTGGGTGTCTCAGCTAGGTTACTTCTCTTGGCACTGGAAGGGAGCAAAGGGAAATCACATGTAGAACATCATAAGCTAACACAGTAATTCAGGGCCAGCTATAGGGCCAGACCTGGTTTCTCAGGAATTTATCCAATTGAATCTTGAAAATCTCCAAGGATGGAGCTTGCACAGCCTCTCTGGGAAACCTGTTCTACTGCTCGACTGTCCTCATGAGGAAAATACTTTTCCTTATTACCTGTTTGACCCTCTCTTGTTTCAACATATGCCTGCTGTCTCTCATCCCGTTACCACATGCCACTCCAAAAAGCTTAGCTCTGTCTTGATGACCTTCCTGTAAGCGCCGAGGATCTGCTGTTAGTTGTCCCCAGAGGCGCCTCTTCTCCAGGCTGAAAAAGCCCAGATCCTCCAGCTTCTCCTCACCAGGCCAGTGCTCCAACCCCAACAATCCTGGCAGCATTCCCCTCAACTTGCTCCATTTTGTTATCTTTCCTATAATGTGGGGACCATAACTGAATGCACTGTGCAGCTATGAGTGGCAACTATTGGGGAATAATCCTTCCCTGGATCTCCCGGCTCTGCTTCTTCTCATACAGCCTAGGATGCTGTTGACCTCTTTGCTGCCAGGACACACAACTGGCTCATGCCCAGCTTGCTGTCCACCGGGACCCCCAAGCACTTTTCCATAGAGCTGCTGCCAGACTGTCAGTGCCCAGCCTGTGCTATTGAAGGGGGTTAGCCTGTGCCAGAGGCAGGGTTTACTGTTTCTCTCTGTTGAACATCATAAAGTTCTTGTCAGCCCCTTCCTCCAGCCTATCCAGGACAGCAGCCCTGCCCTTGAGCATAAGGACTCACCCTCACAGTGAAGTGTCAGCTGCAAAGGGGATGAGATCGCACTCCTCGCCTCTTTCAGGTCATTGTTAATGATGATCAGGAAGAGCTGAAAAATGGTTTAAATTATTACCTCTCAGTAATTACTTTCTATTATCTGATACCATCATCTCACTTTGGAAGACTTTATCTACAGAATGGATAAATGAGAAATCAGTATAAAACTGTGTGTTTTTACTGGTACAAAACTAATAGCTAGAAGCAAGGTATCCTTCAGGGCAAACTCTAAAAACATTAGGCTTTAAAAGAAAATTTAAGCTAATATTTATCTCTTACAACTATTAGCTTTTCAAAAATTTATCTCCTATGCCAAAATACCCTTGCATGTTTGGGCTGTATCCTGTTGCTTCTTGGCCCATGTAGTCAGAGATTAGACTTTTGTGGGGTTAGTGATGCTTACAGGCAAAGTGATGTTACTCACATACTAAGAGATTTAATTTGATTCTGTTTTCTTGCTGAGAACAGAAAGAAGAAACAGGAGTCACTTCCCTTTTCAGAAGTTTAGGCTTGCTTTCTACCCAAGCTCTACTGAGCCTACTGCTCAGTCTCATATTTGTCTGTGAAGCACAAACTCTCCCATTTCTCTGCAAAGAGCAAATCTGGTTTAGGACACTTAGCCCATAGCTATTAATAATCTAAGCAAGCTAATTTCAGAAGGATTAACAGACTGTGTCATCTGAAGATAGCCAGTTTCTTTCTATTCAAAGTCCAGCACTTGTACAATTAACTCAGGAGCCCATGGGATTATAAATAGTTAGTTAATCCAAACAGATTTACCTCCTTAGGAAAAATGATTGCCCTTCATCACTGAAAAATATTTCACTTTTTGCAGCCTTTTAAATCATGGTGAGTTTTTAAAAAGACCATCAGCTTTCAAGATTTACAGGTGTTTACCAGCAAATGTTCACTCAGGATTCACTCAGGAAAATCCACTTTCTGAATGAAAGGTAGAATATTACACAAAAGCAAACATTACCACAGCAAGGTAAAGATCACCTCTTTGTCTCACTCCCTGAATGAATCAAATCTCTCTTACCCTAAACCAACAGAGGAAAGGAATGAATTCCCTTTAAAAAAAGAAAATTAAATAAGACAGACTTATTCCTCCAGAGCTCTTATTCTGTTATCAGTTTATGTGAGTTTATGTGAAGGAAGTTATTCTTTAAAGCACTTGTACAGTCATTTTGGGGATTCTAAGCTTTTCACTCTAGCTACTTCTCAGTGCCTTTGTTTTCCAATATGAATCTAAGAAAACTTCCAAAAAAGATAATTCTTGCTTAGGTTTACACTTCATTGCTTTGATTATGCTATTTGGGAAAAATATCACCCCAGTCTTTTTATATCTCTTTGGCAACATTTCGTACTAATTTCCCCCATCACTTAAATAGCTTCTTTGATTGGACCTTTGATTGGATCTTTAGTTTCCTTCACAATTGCTGTATTATTTCTTCCTCTTATTCTTTTCCTGTAATATCAGTATGTCTTTGTATCACATACTTTCTATTTAAAGAAACAGCTTTCCTAATTTCTTTTTTACTTCAGGTGCTGTTTGCATTTCTGAATTTTCTGTATATGGACCTTTTCCCATTAGAAAAGCCCCACTTGCTCCAAGCCTGTTTTCCTTCTCACTCCTCTCCTTTGCCTCCTGTCATGGCATTTTGTGGCTCAAGCATCCAACTCTTGTAACTAAACTGACCACTCAGATAAATTTCTTTTTTAGCATTTGCCTTAGGGTTTTTTTCCCCCTTAATTCATTGCTGCTTAAGTTGTCTTCTTAGAGCCAGGAAGCTGGCATGCAGTACCCGTTCTACCCACTCAGTTCTGATGTCAGCCTTTCTGCACAAAAGTTTCAGCATCTCAGAGGGTTGTATGCCATATACACTTTGATTTTTTATTTTGTGTGCATCTCCCACTCTTTATCTTCTTTAACTCAACTCTATTTTTTCAAACTATATGCTCCACTAAGGTCATCTTGACAGCAGGAAGTGAAGCTGTGGTGTGATGCATTGACTCTGCCACAAACACTGAAAAACGCGGATTTAGTACTTGAAATTCTGTTAAGATAGGCATCTTTTATGGAGACAAGAAAAAGCTCAGGAAATAGTCTCTCTTGGAGATTCTGAGAGATTCTTCTCTCATTATATAAGTCTTACAATAAAAAACAACTACAACATCGTCTTTCCTAATAATCACCATCTCTGGCTTGATGTTTTGAAGAATGATATCCAGAGAATTCCTTATGAAAAAAACTACATACAACAGTCATCTTGCAATCATATTTAGGGAGCTGAACAATATAATTCTTCAATGTATTCAGGTTTTCATTTTTGTATATCAGAATACATGCAGATGTTTTTATTTGTAATCATTCTTTTAAGATCAAAAAGTAGAAAAGATATCAATACATGCGCATATTAGTATTAATGGGAATTGCAGGTCCAAAGCAAGGACTGCTTTCTGAAGGAAAATGGGAAATGCATAGTATATTTTATATACTGTAATTCGAAACTGATGTTGGCAATGACTAAGGAAAGTGGTTTTTTTGTCTCTTTCTTGAAGAGCTCCCATTTAAAAGAGACCTTATGACACCACTGAGAATCTTCGTCTTAATGAATGAATCAACGTGTTTGATTGTTTATTTATCTGCTCTTGATGTACATTAAGTCTTTGTTTACTGAGAACTGAGCAGTCCAGGACAAAATTAATTAGTAGCAAACTTCCTTTCTAGGAGTGTTGTCTCTAGAGACAAGAAACCTCTAATTTTCTATATATTTGAAATGAGTTTGAACAGCAATTTTTGTGTTGCTGGAATACTTTTTATAGCAGAACTGTTTACTCTGAAGGATCCTTTTGTCTCCTCCTCAAAGTTTCTTCCAGAGTCTTTTCTCTGAAGTTCTCCTTTGTATCTCGATTTCACTCATGCGTTACGTTCTTTCAAGTTCTACCAAGTTCCAGCTCTACATATTTCAGTTTTCCACAATATTCTGCACACTTAAGCTTATATATACTAGAAATGAGAAAAAAAAAAATCATTGTACATAAACTTTTCCATGATCTCTAGGATCTTAAAGTGTATAAAGATAAACATAATGCATAACTGCTCACACATTAATTCTTAGTCTAGAATCACTTGGTCTTTAATTCTTATCTTAACTTCAAGATTTGTACAACTTGTACACAACATTGGTAAAATACCTGTCATGTAAAGTTACTGTCAGAGAGATAAGAAGTAGGACCTGACATAGCAAATATGTTTTATATATATCATACTATATTTTCTGTTTCTAAAATGGCTGTTTATTCTCCAGCTGCACAACTGTGACATCCAAGTGCATTGTGATGGAAATACAACAGTCCTAACCATGATTTTTATCAGCTAGATTTCCAGGAAAAAATTTTGGAAAAAAATTGCAACAAGTCAATTTGTGTCTTAATTGTTTTTATACACTCCTAAAAAGACCAAAAGTCAAAATCCAGACAGTGTTATGATATTTCTTTTTGTGGTTTTTTTTTTGACTAAGAACATTTACTTACAGCAGCAGTATAGTGGGAGGTTATCATGGAGATTTTCTTTACTTCAAAAAGCCTGCAGTTAGAATGAAACACAAGAAGATAGGTACAATGTACAGACAGCATGGGAAGGAGAAAAGGTAAAGGATAACTGTGCGGTCATATTTCCAAAAGTGTGAATCTTCAGTATTTGGCAGTTTTGAAATACATAAGCAAGAAAGGCTTAATTTCAGTCACTTCTTGCTATCAGCCTAGTAATTTAAAAGACATTTATTTATGAAAAGTGCATATGTATGTTACTGCTGTTCATAACAAAGAAAAACAGAGAAATTTATAGAAGATAGGTATCAGATTTTTATTTAAATAGAAGACCTGTCAAAATACAGCATACAGTGTCAGCAACTCTCTTCTGAGTGTTAGGTTGTATCATTGCTCTTCATGTCAAATTGTCATAACATGCCTGTCATTGCTGCTTTCAATTAACCTTAAAACCAAGTCTGAGAATTATACAAGGAACAAAGTTTAAACAGAATCCTTACGGTTAGCAATACTGTCCAACAGCAATCATTCTCTCTTGGTGTTGATGAAATCATCTGGGTATGAAGAGTCCTCTAGTGATTCATAATAGCTGGATTTCTTTCCAGTTACCAGACCCTTTGGCAGTAGCTTATTGTCACAGCCAGGTCTCTGATAATTTACTGATACTAAATTCCCTAGAAAGTATGTATTTTTTGCTGTGATTTACAGCTGTACTATGTTATACTATAGTTGAGGAGCTACTTTTTCTTCCATCTTGCATAATCTTTACAAGGAATCCTTGCAGTAACTGTAGAAGTTGGAGGACGGCACTTTAAATCACAATAAAATGTTTCGTATACAACATTCACTGTGAAATGTAGGTCACTGGAACAGGCTCCCCAGGGAAGCGGTCACGGCACCAAGGCTCTCAGAGTTCAAGGAGCATCTGGACAACACTCTTAGTCATATGGGTTAGTTTTTGATAGTTCTACAAGGAGCAGGGAGTTGGACTTGATGATCCTTATGAGTCCCTTCCAACTCGAGATATTCTATGATTCTATGATTTCTATTGGTTTACACCACATGTCTGAAACCTGTATCTATACATTTCTTTACTTCTTTCCTCTATCCTATAATTTCCTCATTCAGGGTGTATGGTTTTTGGGACAAGGTCCATTCACTATTCTGTTCATAGGAGGACAACCTATTGTTGATATTCTGTGGATATAGTGGATTTATATGTGAATAAATTTTATACACCTTTACAATAAACCACTTCTGACACTTTTCTTTTGTTTTTCTGTCTCTGGGAACAAAGCATAAATAGGCAAGGTTTATTGCCATCGTTTCCTTCCCTGTTTAATCTGTAGTCTTGTGATCTTATCCTTCCTCTTGTTAAGTATTTTTCTTTTACAATAAAGCACAGAACTAGTACTACATTCTCTTACTTTTTTGATGTCTCTTTCCTGTCCTTCCAGAAAACTGACAAACTTTCACACTGAAAATCCCTTTTCCCCCATCCAGAACTGCCCTTTTTTGTTTCCTGCACCTCATAGGCAGCCCCTTATTCTGTATACTGCTTTGTACCCCTTATTATATCAATGGTCAATGTCATATCAGGGTTGGAAAGATTTGGGGGTGTTAAGTATTTCTGAGGTCCCAGCTGTGCATGCTAAGAGGTGAATTTGGACAGTTCATCTTGACAGGTCAAATAACGTAGGCAGTTTCTGTAAATGATGTGGTGTTAAGTTATTAAATTATTATTAAATATAGTTTTATGTTAATGATGACGCTGGTAGCAGAATATCACAAAGGACTTTTCTACTGACAAGACCAACTGCCATCTTGACTCATTATGATTCTGTGATATTATCAATACTGCTATGTCAGTCTTTGAAAATGCATGTGCTAAGAAAACTGTATTTTCTACCTTGCTGCAATACTGCTTCTGTAATCTTCAGTGCTCTTTGTCTACAGCATTTTTCCCAACATGGTTATAACTGCAAGGCTGTCTCATTTTTTTGTGTCTATTCTGCATTCCAACTCACCCGTCTGATTTCTCCTTTAAGGTAAATAATTACAGTTTAGAAGAAGTTACCCATGAAGAGGCAGTAGCGATACTGAAGAACACATCAGATGTAGTATATCTGAAAGTTGGAAAGCCCACCACCATTTACATGACCGATCCATATGGCCCACCAGATATTACTCACTGTAAGTGACTTCTGCAACTCATTTTGTAGAACATATCGGTTTGTCAAATGATTGTGGTTTTTTCATAGCTTGTCCAAAGTACTCCATTAAAGTTTATGAAACAGCTTGGAAGGATACAAAAATGAAATGTTTATTGCCACTTAAGTATGCTACACTCATGAAATATTACAGATAATATAACTCTGCTAAAGTATTTTTGCAGCAAAAGTAACAATGTAGCTGATGTACTGCTGTGCTGATTCCAATTAGCCGTTGTCCAGGTGATCAGATTGAACTGTAACTCTTGTGACAATTACAGTACTAAGTATATATAATATATTTTGATATATGATTGGATTTGTAGGCTGGAGTCCTCTGTCCACTGAAAAACTGGAACAAGCAGCAAACTGTCTTATACAAACTTACTGAAAAGCCTGAGGCAAATATATATCATATTTGAATAAAATATTTACTTGGAATATAAAAATCACTGATCTACTATTTTCTGTCTATATCCCATTCCTAAATTATTGTTCCACTTTGCTTAATTCTCAGTCTGTCCATTAACTTTATACATGGTCATCTGCTATTTTTCCATGGAGGACCAAGGCGTTAGTTGTCCTTGCATTCAGTGTACACTCTGTTGTAGGAAAAGTTGTTGAAACAATATAGTAAAGCTCAGCGAAGGATCCTCATAGGAAAGGAAGATGATTTTGTTTAAAACAAACTGATTTCAATCAGGCTGTTGTATCCACACACTCCAAATCATCTAGGCTCATGTCCAGCATTCAGGTAGAAAGATGTGCATCCAGGAGCATCACCAGGACTCCCTGAGATGACCAAGTACAAGTGTGGATGGCTGTGGAGTCCTGATCATACATATATACCTTCTTCTTATGTTGACAACCTCCTTGCTGATGTGCTTTTTGTACCCTTGAGATGACAGCAATTAGGATCTTTTGTCTCTTCCATCTGTCCTACCTATGCATGTCTTTAGGATTTACTCACTTCTCTTTTGTCTCCTTATCTGAGTGTCCTGGGCTCCAATCTGGTCTTTATCTCCTGCCATCATGTCTTAATGGCTTGAGTCTTTGTTTTAGCTTGGGTGTAGGCTGTCCTGACAAGTTACATGTAGTTATGTTGAATATTGATGACCTATTAATGAATCTAGGTGCTATCAATACCTGCCATTCTTATACCCCTCCTGCCAGTCCTCCTGGTGTCCATACCCAGGCATTCCCATTCCCTTTTCATTCACAGCAATCTTAACATTTCAGCTGCAGCTCTCTATACCATTGGTGCCTGTTAGTCTGAACAGTTCCTTACTGAAACTCCCTTTCTTCATTTAGTTGTTCATTAAAAACTGTCTGCCTTGGGTTCAACTACTAACAGGGACCAGCTGCACCATCTAACAACTGGATGGCAGTTTAATTTTTAGAAGAGCTTCAGCAACTGATCCGTACCCATGTTGATCTCCTGCCAATAATCCTAGGGACACTTAAGGCCAACCAAGAGCTGGGAAAGACAGATTTTCACAGTAAATGCTAGAGATCTAAATTTTTCTGCACTTTTGCATAGTGTTGCTACTGTGGACTGACAAAGTTGAGGGAAAAGCTAAATATCCATAATCTTCCTTATTCAGACTGCTCCATAAAATAGAAGGGAAGGTTTTGTAACATGCATGTCAGGTGGTATACTCAACTGTGCTGAGGATACCTATTTAGTTAGCAAATGTTACAACAGATGGCAATCATGTTGTTCAGAAGCAGTCTGGTCTGGATCTTAGCAAAGCCCAAGAAGTAAAAGTGCTAAATGTTCCTATCCAATCTCCTGCTTTATAGTACTTTCCAAAATAATAATTTGGGAGTTCTAAAACAGTGTGTTTTATTATGTCAGATTATAGATCAGCAGCATATGAGAAGACAGAAGTAATTCCAGAGGGAGAGTAAAGGTTGAAAAGATTTGCAGTAGCCCATCCCAGGGTGTTGGTGCATACAGATTCATTTGTCCTCAGGGAACCCTTCATTATACCTACACGTTCAGAGTATTTCAGAATGGGTAATGGCCTTTCCCTGTAGAGATATTTTGCTTTGAAACATTCTGTAACTCAGCATCTGAAAGAAAGACCGGAACTAATACTAGAAACATTAGCTGTCTTTTTCTTATGAGAAAATTAATCATAGCTCATTGCAGAAGCACATATCATTGTTTTTGCTATTTATCATTTCCTTTTCTAACTACATTAACTAGAGATTGAATACAACTATTACATCTCTCCAGTCATAAATATCCCCAGTAACTTCAAAATAGCAAAAAGCAAACAAACAACACAACTCACAAACCCAATATAGAATCAGACAGCATAGTCCTGTAATTTTCCTTATTAATCATTAACATGTAAGAGATTTGTATCCGCTTTCTATTTTAAATATACAGATTTACTGTGATCTAAATATCACTTATGTTGGTACTGAAATTTCAATTGTATTGGGAATTTTGGCAGCTTTAGTAGATCACAACTTTAAATCTTCACCATACATAATTCTTGTCATACATACAATTTCTGCTCTTATCCTGCATTGAGCTTTGACTATATTACTCCCATCGCTGTATATTGAACCCAAAAAGAGGTGTGTGCTTTTAATCTCATTCTCTCTTATTTACATTTCCTTCTTCAGGTCAGTCCTAATTGAAGAAAATGTTTCCTGTCTCCCAAACTATCCTTTCTTATTCAGACCCCCTCTAAAGAGTCAATCCCTGCAAATGAGCCAGCATTATTATTATTATTATTATTATTATTATTATTATTATTATTATTATTGTTATTAACCTTTCAGGAAAACTCCAGCTGTTCCTTCTTTCCTGTTACATATTAACCTCCCTCAGGCAAGGATTGTCGGTTTTGATGTTATTTACAGCAATAAGCATGTTCTTGGTACTTAACTAAAAAATGGTGCTTTGTGACATCTAATCAAACATGAAAGTGGCTAACTAGAAATGCTTATTCTTATCATCAGCTTATTCTCCACCAATGGAAAATCATATACTCTCTTCTGGAAACAATGGCACTTTAGAGTACAAGGCATCCCTGGCCCCTATCTCACCGGGAAGATACTCACCCATTCCAAAGCACATGCTTGTGGAGGACGACTACACCAGGTCAGATGCTTCTCTTTCTTTATTTATTACCTTTCATGACAATTGCAAAGGACATAGGTAAACCATTCAGTGCACCTCAAATAGAATACAACATATAGTTCTTTTCACCCATGTTCAAGGAAAGATGAATAGAAACTTTTACAGATATGAAGATAACTAAAAGAAAGATCACACGAATGAATGCTGACCTGAGGTCCTTGTTGTCTGGGTGCAATCCTGCACTAATTCCTAAACAACATGGCTGCACTAGAACAATGCTGGCATTGAGCATAATTTTCTGCTTCTTAACACAACTAGGAGATCTCAGGATCAGTGACTCATCTGGATCACTGCATGTATGGGTGGAGGGACCACATGTGCATTTGTACCTGTCCGTGACAGTATGGTCTGAAAGGTCCAGCTTGTTTAGTTTAGAAAAAGCGAGGTTGAAATAGCCTGTAATTGCTCTGTGTACACACATTGAAAGATAAATATTATGGAGAGAAAACATTATGGGAAAAGAAAAAAATGTATAAGCTGGCTGCGAATAAATATAGGAGGGAAACTGGAAAAAGTTTCTTAACCATTAGAGCAATCATAATATGAAACAGTTTTCTGTGAGAACATAGAGGTTAAAACAAAACTGTTTATGCAGTGGCACTTGATACCTTTATAAAAGGGGTTCTTTGATGTGATTATCAGCAAAATGACCCTGGAAATTGCTTCTAATCTTTTTTTTTTTAATAATCCCAAAAGATTTGTGAATACTATATGGAAGTACGGCAGCAGAATTGTATCTATGTAGTTGATTTCCAGGTAGAAAAAACACATAGGAAAATACTGGGAGGGTTCTTTTATGCCTAGTGTTAGATCAACACTGTATGTCACTGATGAGGCAGTGTGTATTTATCTTTTTGTTTGAAGAGCACTACCACTCACTTAGAAGACAACAGTTGTTAAGTTTGTAAAATGAGCCTTTGTTATAATGTCTAGTGCCACAGAAAATGAGAAACTATTTTTTTTTCTATGCTTCAGTATTTATAAATTCATTGTGTTTAAAGCGAGGAAGGGGTTGTTCCGATCATCTAACCTGACCTACTGTGTATCTCAAGCCAAAGAATCTCATCCACTTATGTATTCATCAGCTTCATAACTTGCTAATTTGCATTTCATTTTTCTTGTTGTATATGATTACGATCTCAAGCTGCTTAACTTGTTGGATCAGACAGATTCAGAGTAACTAAATCATAATACAGTGCTTAGTTAGGACATAAATGTATGGAAACCACACCTTGCTTCCCTGTCTTGGCTAAAAGAATTTCTTCTTTGTTTTGATTGAGGATGCAAAGCTGACATTGCTTTCCTTCAACTTATGAGACATTCAATTAGGATGAATTTTCTCCAAAGGGTTCCAAGAAGTTACATTTTTTAATTAATAGTTAAAACATTGATTTGATTAAATTGTGCATCAAGGCTTTACCTGGGCTAGTACTGACCTCATAATTTCCAAAATGCCTATGTATAGGAAGAATACCCATACAGTATCTGGGTTACAGTGATGAAGTGTTTGTCAATAAGCTTGTAGCGCTGAGTTCTTTCCTTCTGTAATGAGGTGTCAGCATCACTATTACTGAGAAAGAGTTGGCAAAGTTTAAAAACAGAAAAAAAATGCAACCTTAAAAGTAGATAATACCTAAGGAGACCAAAAAGTCACAGAAAGTGAAGGAAGGAATCTTAAAAAAGCAGAAAAGCTGCCCTGCGAATTAAAAGACCATTGAAACAGTTAGCAGACCTGTAAGATTAGCAGGAAGTATCTTTAGACAGTCCTGTGTTTCTTTGTGTTCTATGTAGCTGATTTCTTTCTAAGTACTTCAACCAAAGAAAAAGGAAAGAAAAAAAAAAAAAAAATAGTCATAGAAGAGAAGGCAATGACAGTCCTAGCCCATTACTTCAGTAGATATCCAGTAGAAAGTATACTTGCTAAGAGAACCATGGAGGATATATATTGAAATTAATTAGTATGTCTTTTTGATCTTTTTAGGAAGAAAAATTTATTCCTATCCTGATATTTTTAGTTTGTTTTTAAACAAGTTAATTTTGCTGGTTTAGCTCCTGACAGTAAAACCAAATACTGACACAGTCTGGTTCTTGACTGAGGTATTCACTCCGACGTCCATTTTGTATTATTTGGGGAAAAAAATGAATGCCCAGAGAAGCCGTGTATATTCTGTGAAATACTCCTCTCCTGTGTTCTTCTTCCTATCTGGATTTCCAAATTAGTGTGTTGTCTAATGAAGGGCTGATATCGAAAGTCTTCTGTGGCATTGGCACTATTGACAGGAGAGGCTGATTCTACAAGCATGAATTTCTGTGGAAGGTGTGTGGCGTGGGCAGAAATAAAGGTGTCGAGTAACAGAAGCAGACTCTGAATGCAACAGAGCAAATCAGATTAAAATCTTGTAGTTTGAAACAAGTATTTACTTTGACCCATTGAAAAGGGGGAAGCTATTAGGGACTTAATTATATTAGTGAGAATAGCTTATATGCTACACTGATACCCAGGAAACAAAAGCACAAAGATAAAATGAATGTAGTCATAAGAAAAATGGCCCTTCTTGCCATTGCATTTCCTCACTGGACATACATCATACAGCACTGTCTGACAGACACCCAAACAAGAGCCAGAGACCAGGTTGCTTCTCTGACTACAACGACTAAGAAGCTCTGTCCTTCAAAACCAAACCCTTTAACCCTTGAATGATTTTGAACCTTTTTCTTTTTCCAAATGTCCAGGTAGCTAATTATTGCCTGTAGATTCAAGTGGAAATATTGAAAATGCCACGATTAATTCTCACACTGATTTTCACAGCTATAAACTGAGAATAGTGAATGCAGTCTTTCTGTGCAATGCCATAGGATTTGCTGCTGAGTCTCCCATTAGAATAAGAAGATATTTGGAAAGTCTTTGTTGCTGACCAGTTTAGAAAGACTTAAAATCTTTTGGGAATTTAATTATCGTATTGATAATTTTAGTGAAACCTATAGGTCCCTTGATTGCAGCATTTATAATTAGGTTTCCTCACATAATTTTTTATAATTAAGATGATTGCCAACTACTGCAGTGCTATCCATTAAAACTGCCTGGTTCTTGTTATAATAGGTATTTGGGGCTAATTTACGTGGTGATCATATAAGGAAATTTATTACCTGTGCAGTCATAATATGGCAACACTGGCAGATTTTCATTTGTGCCAGCTAAAAATATTTGGAACTGTAACTTCTCCACTATAAGAGGCTTTTGCAATTTTTTAATTCTTTGTACATGTGATTTGAGTGAGGCTGATGACAAACTTTTTTTTAACTTACTTGCTATAATGAATCTATCAGTAAATCTTAAATTGTTAAACATTCAACTGAATTTGTCAACTTTCTCATGTTTTCTTTTTTGTTTTTCATTCCAGTTCTAAGGTTTTTTTACCTACATACTTGTATTTTGCCTAACAAAAATAAGTGTTTCTGTTGATATAAACTTGTATTTTTTGGTCTGATACTGAATCTGTGTCTGAAAAAAATTGAGTACAAATTTTACTTAATAAAACTATGGGGAAAAAAAAAGTTAATCCAAGCACAAGGGATAGAAAAGTAACAAATCACCTTAGCAAAAGTTTTAATGAAGCTGGATGTTGTCTTTTAACTACTGAAATTTTGTAATTTGTGTATATTATTGGTCCAAAATGCTGTCAGTGATGGGCATAATTTACTTTTTGTTTTGATGGATTCATTTTAAATTCACTCAGGATGGCAGCTTTGCCTTCCTGTATTTTTTAAGAAGATTGTCGCCTTCTAAAAATTAAATAGAATAACACAACTTCAGGTTAGTAGAATGTGGGATCAAAAGTGGATAAAAGCTATACACCAAGTAACTGTATCAATACAGTCATCATCATTCTGCAAGTCCTTATTTGTTTTAATTTCTAGTAAGATTAAAGTGTTGTGCACGCAATGCAGGAGATTCCTTGATTGCATTGCTCACAGTTTCCTAATGTTGCTAGAGGGGAGAAATAGCAATAATTCTCTGCTTGACCTGCTGCTTACGAAAAGAGAAGAACTCATGGCAAAGGTGGTGATACATAACAGAAGGATCAGAGTGGCCATGAGGTGGTTCAGATCATAATTCAAAGGAAGTCTGGAAAGACAGTCAGCAAGTTATGACTGTAGACTTCAGAAGAGCAGACTTCAGCCTTTTTGGAGAATTGCTAAGCAAAATCTCTTGGGATGCTGCCACAGAAACATAGGGTCCATGAAAGATGAATGATTTCTCAATAAAACTTATTGAGAACTCAGGAATGAACCATCCTGTTGAGCAGGAGGGAGGGGGATTCAGCAGAAGGCCTTTTTGGCTGAGCAAAGAGCTTTCTGATGACCTAAAATGCTAGACGTAGACAAGCATTGCTTGACTGCTTAATGAGAAAATCAGAAACATGATTGATTTGAGCTAAGACTTACGAGGGTCATAAAGGAAAACAAAAAATTATTCTGCAGGTGTACTACTTTCAAAAATGAAGGTAAAATTTGATGAAGGTAAAAACTGATGAATGGGGGGGAAGACAATGTAATGACAGAAAATATAGAAAAAGCTGAAGTACTCAATATCATCTTTGCCAGGCATTTAAGGAACCAGAAGTTGATTGGAACAGTCAGCATAAATTTACTAAAAGCAAATCAAAAGCTTGTCCAGCCTGGTTGCCTTTCCTGATGAGAAGACTAGCTGTGTGGATGAGGGGAGAGCAGCAGCTGCCGTATAGCAACCAAGGCCACAGCACAAGTGCTTCCTTGAGCAGGAAAGCCTCTTTGCTGGGTGAAAACACAGCTGACTCCAAAGGCATACCTGACCCATGCCATAACTCCCACAGCTGTGCATCTGGGATCTGCTGTGGGGCACATGGTGATTCCTCTTCTCCACTAGTTGCCCTGGGGAGTGGCTGCAAAGGTATTTCTCACACCTCTTCTGTGGGCAGGAG